TTCAATTAATAACCTATGAAGCTCGTCTTTACTGATGCAATTGCTATAAAAACTGTGAAAGTCAATCAAGCTTTTTCTCAGTCATCTTAATATTGGATAATATTATATCTAAAGCTAAGTAAAGCATCTTTACAGACATTTATAGGCAAGAAATGTGTATGTGAAACTAGAAGACTAAAAGTTTATTAATTTTATCAGCAGCATTAAACTTTCATCATGTAAATCATGTTTGCTATGCCTAAATCATGATGCATGCTTTGAAATCATCGGGAGTAGATTATAGATGGATAGATCCAGTGCCATATAATTGCTTTGCTAGCTTAGGCTCGCCCCTTAATGTTCTACATTGCTTCTAGTAATTTAAGTCTGAATCAGCTCAAACTTTTTACACAGCATAAGGATGTCAATATGTATTATAAAAGTTTAGCCGTTTCCCAGATTTTAATAACTATTAATAACTAGAATAGTTAACTAATCATTTGAATTCAAAGGGTTAATTTTTATGAAGTTTCTAAATTATTTTATAAGAAAGTTTTTAGAGAAAGTACCAAGGAAATGGCCTATTCCAGGTGTGAATCACGTGATCCTCGTTGCCTCTGGTAAAGGCGGAGTTGGAAAATCTACAACAGCTGGTAAAGAAATAATATTCTTTATTTTTAATTTTATTTTAAATTTTTTAGTTAATGTAGCAGTGACACTAGCAAATGTGAAGGTAAAAATTATATTAATTATTATTTTAATTAATTATTAATTAGTAGGGGCTGAGGGTCGGTCTGTTAGATGCTGATGTGTATGGTCCCTCGTTGCCACGTCTAATGAACCTCTCGGAACAACCTGAACTGGATAAACGTTAGTATATTATTAGTATATTCCAGTATATTGTCAGTATATTTTATAGAGGACAAGATGATACCACTGACCAATTATAATGGGAAATGGTAATTGATTTATTATTTTAAAAATTTATTTATTATTATTTTTAGTATGTCAATGGGTTTCTTAGTAGAAGAATCAGAGCCGATAGTGTGGAGAGGATTAATGGTAATTAATAATAATTATTATTAATTAATAATAATTAATTACATGTACATGTATCTATACAGGTAATGTCAGCAATACGGAGGTTATTAAGAGGCGTGGCCTGGGGTCTATTGGATATACTAGTAATTGATATGTAGGCCTTACAGTTTTCGGGTTTAATAAAATTCTAAATTTGGGGTGGTTTTTTCGGGTTAAATAGGCACAAATGGCAATAGGGGTTAAATTCGGGTTTAATCCTGTCACATTACATAAAATCGGGTTGTTTTTAAACAAATTTAAAAACCAAACTCAGAAGAAAATATAATTATACTGTACAAAGTGTTCTGAATGTCTTGATTAAAAGGTTCAAAGTCATTTGCATATGTCAAGTTTCAGATGACATTAGAAATGAAATAAACCACCCCTACTATGAGCTAAGCACACTCTAGACCACACCTCTTTATGTGTAACATTAAGTTATTTTTATGGTAAAAATCGGGTTTAGCCTGAAAAGATTTATTATTTTCGGGAGGTTAAAATCGGGTAAAATCGGGTTAAACTCGGAAATTGTAAGGCCTATTGATATGCCACCTGGAACTGGAGACACTCAACTATCAATATCAGAGAATATACCTGTATCTGGTAATTTTAAAATAATTTTAAAGTTAATATTATATTTATTAATTTTTTGTTGCCTATTTTTTATTTATTGTAGCATGCATGTAAATGTTGTTGTTTGTTTGTTTGTTTGTTGGTAGGTGTGGTTTTAGTGTCGACTCCACAGGATCTCTCATTATCTGATGCTAGGAAAGGAGCTGAAATGTTTAAAAAAGTCAACATACCAGTAAGCTTAAACCTCAGTAGTGAATATATGGATAAACAGCAATATGAATTACTTGTATGGTCTTAATCCTTTCTCTTCTTCTAATTTGCAATTTACATCTACTTCCTTTTCTTTCTTTTATAGAACTGTAACTAATAGAGTATATCTCTTGCTTAATTCTCTTCATTTTCTCTTCCTCTCTTCTCCTCTATACTCATTAGGTTTATGGTATTATAGAGAACATGAGTGGTTATGTGTGTCCTAATTGTGGACATCATTCAAACGTGTTTGGTAAAGTAGGAGGAGCTGACAAACTGTCTAAAGATGTGGGCGTGGACATAATAGGTTACTATAGCAACACGTCATTATCTTGATCACTTCTTTTTCATTCTCCACTTCATTTATTCCTCTTTTAATTGCTTTGTGCCTTTGTTCTCTCTCTCTCTCTCCCTCCCCCTCTCTCTTTCTCTCTCTCTCCCTCTCCCCGGCTCTCTCTCTCTCTCTCTCCCTCTCTCTCTC